AAATCAAATATGTCTCCTAGAACATTTGCATTAGACATGCCTGTTAGATGGAATAGTAATTATTTAATGCTTAATTCATGTTTACCTTATGCAAATTTAATTAGTTATTTTGTAGCAAATAATAGGGGTCCTCATTATTTGGTAGAAAGTGATTGACATATAGCTAAAAAATTCTATTCTTTTCTTAATTTTTTTTTATCAGTCCACTTTAAAAACTTTCTAGTGTATATTATCCTACTAATTCATTGGTAATACATACAATTATAAAAATTTCAGATTTATTTAAAAAAAGTAGAAACAATAAAATTTTAGCGAGACCAATAGAGACAATGGAATTAAAATTTAAAAAATATTGGAAACCCCTTCATTTTCTTTTTTGTTTAGCTGTTATATTTGATCCTAGAATTAAATTAGTGAGGTTAGAAAATGGTTTAGACACATTAACTGAAAATTTACGAGACAAAACATATGTCAATCAACTGGGAGAGATAAGACAGTGTCTTGCAAAGGTATATTGCAAGAAAACATGTATGGGAACCAGTGAAGAGGTGAAATACCTGAGGAAATAGCGTCAGAAGACACAAATGAAGACTTCGACTCTTGGAATGCACTTAATAGACCGAAGAGGACCCAAACCTGAAGCAAAGCCTCCTCTTTAGGAGCATCAACAACAAATATACTGTCATCCATGCAGCTACAGAGTAATAAGCTTCACCAATATTTAGGAACCCCCTACGTGCTACCAGCAGATCCACAACAAAGAGCAAACTTTGATGTCTTAGAATATTGGAAAACCAAAAAATTTATTTTTTTCGGTATTATCAAGACTTGCCCTGAATTTTTTCTCTGTTCCTGTCTCAATCGTCTTATCCGAACAAATATTTAGTGCAAGTGGAAGAATTTTAAATGACATGAGGACTAAACTTTCACCAAAATTGATTAAAGTTCTCACATGTCTTCGAGATTGGGAACGGTCGCACCATCAGGATCAATATGAGGTTGTCAACGATACTTTAATATAATCATTTCAATTTTGTAATTTAGTTGATACAGATAAGGGAGGTCCTAGTCAACCCTCAAATTAGTTGTCTTATAAATTGTAACTTTATAATTTATAAATTAACTATCAATTATTACATTCTTTTTTCCTTATCAAGTTTTTATCCCAATTGAGTTTTTCTTGGTAAGGTTTTTAACGAGGCAATGATTGTTGTAATTTCTTATTTCTTATTTTATTTTTTGATAAATGAATAAATCTAATTTTTCTTATATTACAATTTTATTGTATTAAAATTGAATTAATATTTGAAATGTTAACAAAAAAAATTAATTTAATTGAATTATTGATATTTAAAAAGTTAGCTAAAAAAAATTACACAGAAGAAAAAAAATATAAAAACAAAAAAAATTCTGAGTCTTTTGGCCAAAGAGGCAGGCCAGGTTGTTGGCAGGCCAGGTTGTTGGCGGGCCAGGTTAGGGTCCACTCGCAATTTTGCTTAACCCGCCACAGGCCAGGCTGGGTTGGGCGAGGCGGGTTATTTTTCCACCTTTAATCTTACTGCATTACATTAGGATACTTTAGAGAAGTATACTATGTTAATGGACCCCACAACCATCAAGCAAGAGGTTGGTTGATGTTGGCGAGCTAGGTTAGGCCCGACCTGCAATTTTGCTTAACCTGCCACGGGTTGGGCTAGGTGGGTTATTTTTCCACCTTTAATCTTACTGCACTACACTAGGATATTTTAGAGAAGTATACTCTGTTAATGGACCCCACAACCATCAAGCAAGAGGTTGGTTGATGCTGCAGTTTGCTGATAAGTTGTACGTAAGCTCTAGTAAACAATTCTCTCCTATCATTTCTATTTTTAATTTTTTAATTTATTTTTTTCCAAAAATGAACTTCTTTTTTCTCACATTCTTGCGTAAGGTGAAACAGTGCTAAATTGCCAACCAAAATGATGTTTCAATCTTCATTACAATAAATATTAGACTTGGCAAACAGGCAGGTCGAGCGGGTATGGGTTGGGTAACAACAGGTAACAGGTAAAACGAACACGGGTCGAAAATTTTCACGGGTCGAGAAATGCATAACTTGTACCCGCCCATGCAGGTACAGGTCGACCTATGGGTCACTCGCATAAGATGGAATTTTCTGCATTTTTGTTTTTACCCAGATTTTTGTTATTCAAATTGCCATTTTTTCCTTACTTTTTGTTATTCAAATTCAAACTTAAAGATGTAAATTGTATTAGTTTAAAAACTTGGTATAAAATTCTTTTATTAGGCTTTCAAAACTTTGTTAATTTAATTAAATAAATGGATAAACACAAACTTGATTAAATTAAATTTGATTAGATTTGGCCAAACATCATTAATTCATTATCAACATTCAACATACATACATAGTAAACACTAAACACTAAACATACATAATAATTAGTAAACACTAAACATATAGAATTGTTCAACCAAACACTAAATATAGTAAACGCTAAACACTAAACATACATAGTAATTATTCAATCAAATTGACAAAGTCTATTATACATTGACGGTGTTACCCTGTTAGAAGCCACCCTTGATTCCCTAATCTCCTTCTTTGCTTGGGTTAATGGCACAAGAAGTTGGGCATCATCAATTTCATCTTCCACATTTAACAAAACATAAGTTAACTGACGATTGAAATTTACAGGAGAATTAAAATCAAACCACAGCCACGAAAAAAATGAAATGATAGACACTGGTGTCAATGATGGGGCTCATTTTTCCTCCCCTGTTTTGGTACATAAGAAGTGACTCGAGTCTGTTTTATTAAAACAATTGTTTGACTGATTAAGACAAATGTTTTAATTGATGAATGTGGTTTTCTTAGCACTTGAAATGCTAGTGGACAACGTATAATGACACAAATTAATAGCCAAGTTTCCAGAACATTCTATATACCCCATCTTTATCTCTATCGAATTTACTCTTCTTTCAACAGGCGGAAGATTGTCATTGTGCTCTTCAACACTCAAATTGAAAAATTGGAATCATTTGATTCCGAAAGAGTCTCAATAAGAATTGGTTAATTAAAGTAAGCGATTTATTATTGACTAGCCTTTTAAATTAAAGAGATTCAATCTAACACTCTTTCTCGTGTCTGTCAACAATGCTAATGCACATGGGTAGCTCTGTGTGTAAACCATTCTACATAGACTACACTAGTACACCAAGAATAAACACCCAGAATGAAGAAACTAAAGTAACCAGAATGTATGTAAGAAACTAACCAGGCATTGACGGTGAGAGAGATGGCGAGATGGTTTCGCCTGCGTGAGAGTGAGAGAGATTAGAGATGCTGAGATAGTGACATGACGTGAAAAACTCCAAATTGAGAGAAGAGGAGGAGAAATGGCTTGATTTAGGTTAAGTGAGATTGAGAGAAATAAGAAATGTGGTGTCGACGGCGTCTGCGTGTGAGAGAGATTGGGAATATGTTTTAAGGGTTTTATTTTTTTAAATAAAATGCGGGTACCAGCGGGTGCCTGTGGGTATTACCCGGCCCACCTGCATTTTTCACGGGCAATCCGGGTACGAGTAAAAATCTCACGGGTAAAATATAGAGGTATCTATACCCATCTGTTTGATGCGAATACCCGTTGACCTGCGGATACGGTTACCATTTTGCCAGGTCTAGTAAATATAACAGCATTTGCAGTACAAATCTTCTTAAATGTATTAAAGCATTTCTCAGCTACATTAAACTCTTAGAAACCCAGGTGTGCAATGAGTGCTATACAGAGTCACAATTTACCTTTTTACTTAAGGTGCCTTCAAATAATGTCCCAACAAAGTCAAAGAAGAAAAATAAAAAAGGAACTTCCTGACCTTCTGATGCAGAAGCTTCTTTTCAAATTCTTATGATAATGCAGTAACCAGTCTAAAACTCAATAAGGATCTATGCAGTGTGAAATGGGATCATGCATTCTTTAGCCACTCTCACTTTTTGTCAATGCCTTATTCAGTCCCTCAATATAACTCACTTTTTGTCAATGCCTTATTCAGTCCCTCAATATAACAGCTGCACATAAACCCAGTTTGAAGGTAAAGGGGGAAAAAAAAAAAAAAAGAAGAAGAAAGAGAGAAAAAAGAATTGTCTTCATCGTAATCCAAAAACCAAAGCCAATTGTTGGCGTTGACACAAACTTTTAACATTAGCAGCAATCACAGAATCAGATTGGATTTTAAAGAAATTAAAGGCAGGAGGGTACCCCATAAAGCAACTTGGAAATTTGAAATCCAGCAAGCTGACATACCAAATCACTATGAAACTAACAAAATAGCAAGCTATGCCTCTAAAAGAAGTGGTTTCTTAACAGATCCAATATAAAAAAGAAAATGCCAAATCACACAAAAGTGCTATTGCAATGGAGCTTGAAACCTTAATGCTCCATCGAAAGCATCTGAAACAACATGCCAATATGGCATCCCTCCAACCTGACAACAATTACATTTCACCATTTATTTTAAAGAATGGAAACAATCTAAAAGGTCAACTATAAGAAACTCAAGAATCCTTTATCAAGCAAAACAGAACTGAGGTGTATAAGAATATTTTTAATATGAAATAAGGCAAGATTACAATCAGAATATAAAAGAATATTTACTAGTATGAAATTAGGCAAGATCACAATCAGAATATAAAAGAATATTTACTAGTATGAAATTAGGCAAGATCACAACCAGAATGTATAAGAATATCTTCTAGTATGAAATTCGGCAAGATAAAAATCAGAATATTTTCTTAGCTTTGTCATACATTATATTCAAACAAAGCTGCATGAAAGATCAAATATCATCAAAAACATTGCAATACATAGACTGATATACTAAACATAGTTATAAAGGGCAGAGCCGAGAATTAATTCTAGTAGAACAACTTCAAATGCTAATTGGATAAACGAAATTATGATAGAAAAGAAAAAGAAATAAAATTCAAACATTAATTTCTGTTATAGTAATTAAATTTATCATATTTACAACCATCCTCAACGCATTTTCATGCTCTCAATGCGCTGTATGATAGCCTCATTTTCAATGCTTTTAAATACATTATTTTCTATATATACAACTAAATTATCATTCATCCATTGGTCCATCGTCCGATTTCGCAATTGAGTCTTCACAAAGTTTGTAGTTGAAAATGCTCTCTTTACGGTGGCAGTGACAACTGGTAAAATCAATGCTAATGAAATCAGAGAATAAACTAATGTATAAACGTTGTGTTTTTTAGTCTCAACCAACTTTTTTGCAAGATCACCAATCCCTTCTAACTCCAAGAACTCAATACTAGAGCGCATATCCATAATGTAAACCTCAAGTTGAATCTCAAGTGCCATGAGTTTCGTTGCAGAAAAGTCTTTTGGATAGAATTCAGCAAGCCGTATCAATTTTTGCTTATCAAAAGCAGCAAATGAATCATTTGGACATAGACATGCAAAACAAAGAAGCAACTCAATGTTGACCTCGTTGAAACTACTATTCAACTCTTGAAGTTGCATATCTAAAATGGCATAATATAGCTCAACACGGTAATGATGCAAATTTGTGATCTCTTGAGCTTTACGTCGTGGCTGCCCCAAAGGTAGAAACATATCATCCATGTAGGGCACATCAATGTTATGTTTGACACAAAAAGAAGAAACTTGACAGAGAAAAGAATCCCACCCACCTTCCCTCATCATTTGTAGTCGTTGCTTACATAAACCAACCAACTTCATAGCATTCACAATATCTTGATCTCCCCTTTGCAATACTTGTGATAACTCACTTGTAAGTCCCAATATATCTTTCATCAAATGTAGACTAAAAACAAAATTAAATGATTGCATCATCTCTAACAAATTATTTGCTTCACATTTTTGCTCAGAGATTGATCCATCATCTGCAATCAACTCAACTGTATCAATTATGGATGAGAACATTGTGATTATGTACATCAAAGTATCATAATATGAACCCCAAGACGTGTCTCTAAATCGCTCTAAAGTAGTTTCTTGATTTAGGCAATTTCCACTTGAAAGCTTGTCACTATTGAACTCCTCAACTACTATAAGAGCTAGTTTCTCATGAGGAAGATCGAAGTTTTTCCGCAAGGCTCCAACAATATTCACCACATTAGCTACCACATGAAAGAGAGATTGAACTTCAATATGATTCTTTGCCAACGCCACAATAGACAAATGAAGTTGATGAGCAAAACAGTGAATAGAATAAGCACATTCATTCTCTTTCAAAATGAGTGATTTAAGCAAGTTGAACTTGCCCATCATATTACTGGTCCCATTATAACCTTGTCCACGCAACCTAGACAAACTCAATCCGAGCCTAGAGAATAGCTTATCAATTACTATCTTAAGTGATGAACATGTACTCGTAACATGTTCAAGGCCTACAAAACGCTCAATAACTTGTCCCTTCTTGTCTACATGACGAAATATGACAACCATGTGCTTTTCCATTGATGCATCAAGAGCCTCATCAATTAGAATAGAGAATAGTGAATCACCAATGTCTTGAACAATAACATTTATGGTTTCAATCGAAGCTGCACTCACAATGTCTTTTTGAATTTCAGGTGATCTCAATTTAAGACTTTCAGGAGTATTCTTTAAAGCAATAACTTTAATATCCTCATTATAATTAGCAAGAAATCTTAGAAGTTCAACAAAATTGCCTTGATTGCTTAAATCTTCATATCCATCATTATCATAAAATGCAAGCCCTTGCCTTAATATAAATCGAAGACAATCGATTAAAGCATTCAAGCTTGGTTTGGAGAAACATGTCAGGATATGTTTGTTTTGCTTCATCAGTGCTTCACAATTACCCCAAGCTACATTATGTGCACTGTTGGGACCTCCAACGTGAGTTTTAAATCTTTCTTTCTTCTTCCAATTTGAAAACCCTCTACCAATGAAACAATCACCACCACCTTGTTCACCAACTTGTGGCCTGAAGAGATAGCAACAAAGACAAAATGCAGCGTCTTTTGCTACACTGTATTCTAACCAATTAGGATATTCATCAAACCAAGCAGGGACAAACCGTCGTGACACTTGCCCAAACTTCTTGAATGGAAAATCATGGCCTCTAGGCTGGCAAGGACCCCTCAGCAAATATGCTTTCCTAACTTCATCCCGAATATTACAACTATAATCTGAAATTCGAGGCCGTAGACCAGGATCTATAGGAAGCTCCGGGAAACCAATTTGAAGCTTTTTTTGTAGACCAGGATCTACAGAAAGCTCCGGCAAAACAATTTGAAGATTCTTTTGTCTAGAAACATCGCCATTTTCCTCAAAATTGGGTGGCAATTTTCTTTTGAAATACTTCTCCATAACTGTTTCAAAGTTAAGTTTATAAGTCAAATATCCAACCAATATACTAACTAATACTTGACAAAATGCAACAGTATGTCCCATACGTTAACAAAAAACCAAAAATTCAAAATCCCCCACAGAATAGTTATTAGCAGCAACTAACTCAATTGAACTAAAAATATCACAAAAAAAGCCAAGAATCATCAAAAAGTTGTCCTGAACGTTTAATCAAACGCCTTGCGTACATAACCAAAAAAGCCCCATAATCTTTCAAAAGACAACACAATCCAGAGAAATAATCCTTGCAAAAATCAAAACCCGAAATAGCAAACAGAATTTCCAGGGTATGTAACTAGTGAAATGCATACCTGAGTACAGACCAAGTTCGACTGTTGGGTTGTGCAAGGTTTGAAGTTGAAATTTCGGGACCAGCCAAAGCTTCGGTATTAAACAATGCGATCGCAAACTTCAAACGATTGGGAAAATGTTTTTAGGGTTTTTTTAGTGTGTTCTTAGGACTTAGGAGACTGGCCGAGTGACTTCTGACAATGGGGGAAAGAGACGCAGATGCTTTTGGATTTGGTCAATGAAGGATAATATGGTCTCTTAGAAAAACAACTTTGGTCACTGTAGCAAGATATTAGGCTAATTTGTTTAAGATCGATTTTATTCAGTACTAGAGCGCATATCCATAATGTAAACCTCAAGTTGAATCTCAAGTGCCATGAGTTTCGTTGCAGAAAAGTCTTTTGGATAGAATTCAGCAAGCCGTATCAATTTTTGCTTATCAAAAGCAGCAAATGAATCATTTGGACATAGACATGCAAAACAAAGAAGCAACTCAATGTTGACCTCGTTGAAACTACTATTCAACTCTTGAAGTTGCATATCTAAAATGGCATAATATAGCTCAACACGGTAATGATGCAAATTTGTGATCTCTTGAGCTTTACGTCGTGGCTGCCCCAAAGGTAGAAACATATCATCCATGTAGGGCACATCAATGTTATGTTTGACACAAAAAGAAGAAACTTGACAGAGAAAAGAATCCCACCCACCTTCCCTCATCATTTGTAGTCGTTGCTTACATAAACCAACCAACTTCATAGCATTCACAATATCTTGATCTCCCCTTTGCAATACTTGTGATAACTCACTTGTAAGTCCCAATATATCTTTCATCAAATGTAGACTAAAAACAAAATTAAATGATTGCATCATCTCTAACAAATTATTTGCTTCACATTTTTGCTCAGAGATTGATCCATCATCTGCAATCAACTCAACTGTATCAATTATGGATGAGAACATTGTGATTATGTACATCAAAGTATCATAATATGAACCCCAAGACGTGTCTCTAAATCGCTCTAAAGTAGTTTCTTGATTTAGGCAATTTCCACTTGAAAGCTTGTCACTATTGAACTCCTCAACTACTATAAGAGCTAGTTTCTCATGAGGAAGATCGAAGTTTTTCCGCAAGGCTCCAACAATATTCACCACATTAGCTACCACATGAAAGAGAGATTGAACTTCAATATGATTCTTTGCCAACGCCACAATAGACAAATGAAGTTGATGAGCAAAACAGTGAATAGAATAAGCACATTCATTCTCTTTCAAAATGAGTGATTTAAGCAAGTTGAACTTGCCCATCATATTACTGGTCCCATTATAACCTTGTCCACGCAACCTAGACAAACTCAATCCGAGCCTAGAGAATAGCTTATCAATTACTATCTTAAGTGATGAACATGTACTCGTAACATGTTCAAGGCCTACAAAACGCTCAATAACTTGTCCCTTCTTGTCTACATGACGAAATATGACAACCATGTGCTTTTCCATTGATGCATCAAGAGCCTCATCAATTAGAATAGAGAATAGTGAATCACCAATGTCTTGAACAATAACATTTATGGTTTCAATCGAAGCTGCACTCACAATGTCTTTTTGAATTTCAGGTGATCTCAATTTAAGACTTTCAGGAGTATTCTTTAAAGCAATAACTTTAATATCCTCATTATAATTAGCAAGAAATCTTAGAAGTTCAACAAAATTGCCTTGATTGCTTAAATCTTCATATCCATCATTATCATAAAATGCAAGCCCTTGCCTTAATATAAATCGAAGACAATCGATTAAAGCATTCAAGCTTGGTTTGGAGAAACATGTCAGGATATGTTTGTTTTGCTTCATCAGTGCTTCACAATTACCCCAAGCTACATTATGTGCACTGTTGGGACCTCCAACGTGAGTTTTAAATCTTTCTTTCTTCTTCCAATTTGAAAACCCTCTACCAATGAAACAATCACCACCACCTTGTTCACCAACTTGTGGCCTGAAGAGATAGCAACAAAGACAAAATGCAGCGTCTTTTGCTACACTGTATTCTAACCAATTAGGATATTCATCAAACCAAGCAGGGACAAACCGTCGTGACACTTGCCCAAACTTCTTGAATGGAAAATCATGGCCTCTAGGCTGGCAAGGACCCCTCAGCAAATATGCTTTCCTAACTTCATCCCGAATATTACAACTATAATCTGAAATTCGAGGCCGTAGACCAGGATCTATAGGAAGCTCCGGGAAACCAATTTGAAGCTTTTTTTGTAGACCAGGATCTACAGAAAGCTCCGGCAAAACAATTTGAAGATTCTTTTGTCTAGAAACATCGCCATTTTCCTCAAAATTGGGTGGCAATTTTCTTTTGAAATACTTCTCCATAACTGTTTCAAAGTTAAGTTTATAAGTCAAATATCCAACCAATATACTAACTAATACTTGACAAAATGCAACAGTATGTCCCATACGTTAACAAAAAACCAAAAATTCAAAATCCCCCACAGAATAGTTATTAGCAGCAACTAACTCAATTGAACTAAAAATATCACAAAAAAAGCCAAGAATCATCAAAAAGTTGTCCTGAACGTTTAATCAAACGCCTTGCGTACATAACCAAAAAAGCCCCATAATCTTTCAAAAGACAACACAATCCAGAGAAATAATCCTTGCAAAAATCAAAACCCGAAATAGCAAACAGAATTTCCAGGGTATGTAACTAGTGAAATGCATACCTGAGTACAGACCAAGTTCGACTGTTGGGTTGTGCAAGGTTTGAAGTTGAAATTTCGGGACCAGCCAAAGCTTCGGTATTAAACAATGCGAGCGCAAACTTCAAACGATTGGGAAAATGTTTTTAGGGTTTTTTTAGTGTGTTCTTAGGACTTAGGAGACTGGCCGAGTGACTTCTGACAATGGGGGAAAGAGACGCAGATGCTTTTGGATTTGGTCAATGAAGGATAATATGGTCTCTTAGGAAAACAACTTTGGTCACTGTAGCAAGAGATTATGCTAATTTGTTTAAGATCGATTTTATTATTAAGATATAAAAAAGAATTCTAAATTTATTTTCCCACCTAAGGTTTGCCATTATTACATTTTTCCACCCATGAACTTTGAGAAAAACAATTTCCCACCCATTTTTAAGATGTGTCCGTTAACTGTAGAAGGGCATGATGGTAAATTCACTAAAAGTTGAAAAAATTAAAATTTTAAAAATATATTTCTTAGTTCGTGTAGCGAAGCTTCCATGGGAAGCTTCGCCTCAATGCTTGACACTTGTCCTACAAGTGAATGACTTTCCATAATTCTCTGTAAATAAACCTTAGTAAAAAAGAAAAATCGGTGGGAAATGACCACAGTGGACAAACAGTGACTGGAAATTGAAGACGACGACTCATTGAACATTGGATCTTAGGATGATGAAGGCTGATCACGGCTACACTACACGAAATCCAGGTTACTCGTTTTGATCCCCGTAGTTTAAAAAAGAAACTTTGGTTTTGACTTAAAATTGGAAAAAGAAAATAAAAGAAACTGATGAATAATGTGAGTATTTTGAAAGTGTGGGAAGGGATAGGTTTTAATCTATAAAATAGGTTTTCAAAATTTGGCATTGAAGCAGCTCGCTATTTGTGTTAGGGTTTGATTTATCTTGGGTTATGTATGGTTGGGGGTATCTTTTGGCTTTTCTTGGGTTAGATTTTTGCATGCTAATATGTTATTGTAGTAGAATAGTGTATGATTTGGTTCAATGCCTTCTATGTTACGGTTTGTAAAAAAATCGAGTTATGTTTATGTGTGTGGTTTATAAAGTGTCTTTCATGTCGATTCTGGTTGTAATGCTCTTCAACATGTTCTTTTTCATCTTTTTTTTTTTAATTGAACTATTATCTGTTAAGTTTCTATTGTTTGGTTTATATTGTTTGTGATGAAATGAGATTTTGTGTTCATATTTTTTGCTTTTATTTTTGAATGAATTAGTGGGTATATTTTAAATATTTGAAAAGATTTTGACATGGGGTTGGTCCAAATTAGGTTATAACTTTGTGTAATGGGTGACTTAGGAAGAACCAAGTTCTATTGGAGTGAAAACAGAAAGAAAAATAAGGTTCTAATTTAGTTGGTTTATGTCATGATAACGTTTTTATTTAAAAAATGTATTCATTGATGATGATGTATATGCTGTGGGTTGTATGTAAGGTTCTAATTTAGTTGGTTTATGTCATGTTAAGGTTTTTATTTAAAAAATGTATTCATTGATGATGATGTATATGTTGTTGGTTGTATGTACTTTGATGATGATATTTTGTATTGTATTTATAATTTAGTATATATAGGGTTGTTGGTATTGAATTCATGATTGAGTTTTGTATTGTATTAAACAGTAAGATGTTATCTAATTTATTATACATTTGTGTTCTATAAGATGAAGCCACAAATGTTTAATTTGAAATTTTGGTTATTTGGAATTGATTGTGAGATTAGAAATGTAGACCTTGATGAATTTAGTAGATATAGTGTTGATTAAGGACATTAAAAAATGTGTGATTGAGAAAAACAAGAAAGTATTCCTTTATCCTGATAAAAAGCTTATGATAGAAGCTAGGTTACCTTTGTCTAAGAAGAAATATTTATTAGACAATGATCACGATGTAGCTTTTATTTTCCAGCAATATGGGTTAAAAGGGCTAATAGACCAATGTTTTAAAAACCGACCTGATCAATGAGTTGGACAAATGACTGGGTCCTAGGTTAATCGGATAAACCGATGAGATCATCATTTTGATCTTATCACCCACTCAATGTTTTCTGTCTACTTCTTTTTTATCCCCCTCACCTCTCATATGATCGAAACGTCCACCAACAAACAACTTTTTATTTGTTTTTTATTAAATGCAATACAGTGTTCATCTTTTTCAAGGACATTTAATATTTGTTTTTTATTTTCAATTAAAGCTCATTAAATGCAGTATAAGTACACCTTCTTTATTTATTAAATTAAATTATTTATTTTCAATCTCTCCCACCTTAAGATTGCAGGAATGAAGAAGAGTAGAGAAGAAGAGAAAGCTTTAACAACTTCTTTCTCCAGCTCTCTTTGTTGTTCTTTAATCTTTCATTTCTTCTGTTTTAATTTTTGAAGCTCTTCCGATTCTTAAGCTTTCCTCTAATCAAAAGGTGCAAGCCTTCTACACCAAAACACATTCACTCTTCTTTTTTGACAAAATCCTCATTTTTCTTCTCTCTTATTAGCCGTGTGCCGCCACTATTATATGCACCTCCACCATTCTCCATCACCATCGCCACTGCAGTAGCAACGGCCTAGGGTTTCAACTCCTCTCGTTTTTTCTCCTCTTTTTCAAGTTGGATTCTCTCTCTTCTTCTAGTGGCTTCGTTGATTAGTGTTATTTTTTTGGGTTGATTAGCCTCATGTCTTTAATTGAAAATTGTAAAAGGGATTTGAATCTTAGAATTTAGGAATTTGAGTTAACCCGGTTTTGTGACAAAACCGGCTGGACCGATGGTTCACCACAGTAACACTGGTTCAACCGTGGGTCACAACGGGTTAATTCTTATTTCCGGTTTTCTACCCTGATCGGCCCAGCTAAGCGACCGGTTCCCGGTCGTACCGGTTAAACCGACTGGGCCAGGCTGGGTTTTAAAACCGTGTAATAGACATTAAGTTGTTTGTTGAAGCAATACCTTTAGAAAGTATTGAACCCTTGCAAGCTTTGCCATAACCTAACCCTAGGAAACCTACTGATGAACCAACTGATGAGCAATCAAAGATTCTCCTAGAAGAGTGTTGTGAGGATGAGTTCCATTGGAGTGATGTATCTGATGAGAATGAAAATCAGAATATTAATGGGAATGGTGATGGGAATATAGATGGTAAGGATAATGTAGGTACTAAGGGTGATGTTGTTGGTTATACATGGGGATGAGAAAGGGGCTAAAAGTAAGGGCATGTAGTCTGCTTATGAATTTAACGATGAGGATATCAAAGGATCAAGGTCTAGTGGGGATAATAATGTGGTAAGTAGAATTAGTAGATATATGAAGGGTAATGAGTTTAAGTATGGAGCTAATAAGAAGATTTATTTTGAGGTAAGGTAGGTGGAGGCCTTGTGGCAGCCAGATTTGGCCATCGTGAGGGCCAAGAAGTCGCCAAAGTAGCCATTTGGCCATTACTTTTGGCCTAAGCGAAGGCCAAATTTGGCCGCCTCAAGGCCTCTATACGGTGCCAAAGAGGAGATTAGGTTTTGGTTAAGGGTTAGGGAGGAATAGAGGAGTGTGGCTGCTGGTTAGGGAGAGAAATGGGAGGCTATGGTGAGGGAGGAAGAAAGAAGCGGCGAAAGAGAATGAGTTTTAGAGAGAGGGTGCTTGTGAAAGAAATTCGAGACGTGAAAAGTTTTTGAAATTTCAATTTTAATGTAATGCAAACGGCCACTTTACCCTTTAACCATTATATTAAACAATTTTTTTCTTAATTTAAATGTGAGAATCTGGAGTTTATGAAACCAGGGGTGGGAACTTGCCAAGTGGGAACTTGTTGTTTACTCTTAATTAAGTTTCCACTTGTTGGAATCCAAATATTGGCTGTTAGATTCTAGTGATCCATTGATGAATTTTTCTGCTTATAATATTTTGTATAATTAAATAGAGAATCTATTATCAAGAAATATTAGTAATTATTAATATAATTTATAAAATTGTATTATAATTTAGTGATATTATTATAACTATTAATATTATATAATTATTATATTGGTAGAATAGTAAATTACAAATATAGAAAATTTTGTATAGACAACATTAATTTTAAAAATAAATACTTTACTTATCTTAAAACTTTTGATTGTCAAGTATAACTAATTACTGTCAAGTGTTTAGTAAAATAAAAACAATAAAAAAAGAACAACTCCGTAAGTTTTGTTTGGGGTTGTTGTTCATAGAATTTTAATTTAATTAAAATTACATATTTGGTCTTGCACTTTTCATTAAAATGTACTGTAGTTTTAATAAATAGGTAACTGTTGAGCAGTTACATTATCCCATGGGCAGTTGTCTTTGATGGAAAGACAATTGCATATATAGTGGGAGAGGTTACAGGTCCCCATTAACGCTATTTTAACCCAAAAAAATCATCACACTGAAAATTGTAGTTAATTGGAAGACTGTATAAAAAAAACTTTGAGGAGACAAAAGCGTGAGGATTAAAAATGCATAATTTACACAAAAGAAGTTCTACAATAATCGTTATGGCGAGAGGTTAGTATTACATTGATTTACTTCTGTTGCATTTGATAAATGTGTATACAGATATATATGAGTAGTCAGAACAATGCTATGCTTACAACTGAGTCATACAAATAGACAAAAACAAAGGATTGAGTTGTCATTTTACATGAATTTTGTGCAATTTTTGTCTGTTTATATAACTCAGTTATAAGCAAAACATTATTAGAATAGTTAATGATGACTTTAAACATGTTAGTAATATGAATGTGGGTTTACATGATTGATCTAACATGTGGTGTTAGAGCTAAATTTGGTTGGAATTGGGCTGAGAAATTTTACAGAAACTAGGTTTGAAATTTGCAGAAACTAAGTCAAGACGACTCGGTCAAACTAGGTCCACGGGTCAACCCAACCGGATCAAACCAAGTCAAATTGACTCAATCAAAGGTCAAATTGGGTCAATCCAACCCAATCAACAATAAAAGATAAGGGTGAGCGGTTTCGGGTATCCTGTA